AAAATTTCATTTTTTCTGAAAAGGTGGTGTCTATTTACTTGTGACCACGCTGTGTATATATATATATATATTTATATATAGTACCAACTCCAGGAACTCCATATTTTAGCATTACAAGCTTTAAAACTTACCATGAGTCACCAGGAAATGAAATGGTAGCAATGCTAGCCAAACCTAATTTTATTGTGAAATAAAATATATGACATCAACTTGTGATATGCTCAGTTAAAGAGAATTTGAAGGCTTTATTTAAAAAATTTTTTTTTTCAAACAGTTTTAAATGAAGCCAATTTTATTAATTGTTAAATACCTATAACCATAGAGAATTTACCACTAAAAATGGCCATAAGAACATTTTGAAATTAAAATACAGGTAGTCCATTCAGTAACTTTTTAATAATTTTAATCCGCTTTTTCTTTAGTACCTCATAAGAGCCAACTAACTTACTGAACCATTAAGTTGAATGTCGTGTAGCCGAGCCCATTCGTCTTCATTACTATCAATACACATGAAAATATCCTCTTCAGCCGTCCACGTTGAACAGAGACTTATCCTAACCTCCTCTCCCAATGAACTCACACCCACAGCTGGATAAAGACCTGAAAATGGCCATGGAGCTGATGTGGAGTTAACCTGGAATAGAAAATACAGTCATTCTAAAATGTTTGCTTAAGAATTTTTGCACAAAGGTACACAAAAGGCTATCTGCACATAGCCATCTCTAATTCTAATACAACAGATTAGAGAGAAGTCAGCTAGTTAACAGCATCACCACCAACTCTTGGGCTACTCTTATCTGACCAAAATGGTGCTATTTGACCATTATTACCGAGTACCTATAGCTCCATAAATATAAATATTTTTTTGGCAAGAGACCATGACTCTTAAACTTTTACATTCCCAGTTCGAGCATGTTAACCACTAGATTGGGCCCAGACCTACTCTAAAATGAACCTACTGTTTCACTAAAAAAATGTGAATACCTTTCACACAATTATATAAAAAACTAAGCTATAGATTGAATATGAAACACAGAAACAAATACCATAAAATATTCAATCTTTAAAATCTTTTGAATAATCATATCAGTTAATAACATGCTACAGCAAAAACAATTTCAGGCTCATGCTTTAAACATGTTTACTTTAATAATACATTATAACTAAAGTCTGAAATGTTTAAAAAGGAAAATGTTATTTTTGTTAAAAAAAACTACACAGAAAAGGTTTTAATAAAATTACATTACAGAAGAACAGTTTTCCTTTTTATACTACATGATTAATGTTATGAACTTAGCTTTTTTGAGCACAAGTTCTCCTATTCTTTACTATTATAATCATTTCCATTATTCTATTTACAATATAATTTTACAGTATCATATGGCCTTAAAATATAACAGTTTCTCAAGAGATCTTGTGTAATTCTCAGCCAAATGAGTTACCTAAATCATGCATGACCATAGGCATACAAGTTTTCTACCACTTCATTTTCCTCTGTCTAATTAGACAAACACCAAAATTATTCCTAATGAATATAGGCTGAAGACCTTTTTTTGTTGTTTTCATTTCAGCACTAAGCACTTCGTAACGTTTTCGTTTTCAATTAACACCTGCTGTCATGGGGACGTATTCACAAGATCTTTTACGTATTGACTGAGATTGACAATACACTACAAACAAAAGTTAGATTTTTACTAGCTCTCAGATCCAGTTTTATTATATTTCTGTCCCACTTGCAATTTGTTTGTCCTTGATAATCCCTATATGTTTACACATTTTAAAAATAATTGAAGAAAAGGACAGGACTTTATTACTTTTTCACACCGTCTTACAGAATGAGCAGAAGAGTTACAGAGGTTAATTCTTTAGTAAATATTAAGTTGAAAAATTAAGGTACTATAAAAATAATTAAACAACTAATGTTAATACCTTTCTAAACTAAAAATATATTTCTGATAGATACTTAACTCTTCTCACAAAACAGATTTCCTCAATTTGTACTGCCTTCGATATGCGCAAAAGTTTTGCCTGCCACTAGCCTTTATACTCTCACTAATCCCCAAATGGTATAGCTGGGTGGTAGCATGCGAATAAGCATGAAACAACCCTCTACCAATAGGAGTTTGACACACTCTCCTAGCACAGCTGACCCCCTCAATGCAGTAAAACCCAATCTTCACCTCGAGATTAGGTACAAAAAAAACACCAGGAGGTGGGTATCTACCAGAAATATATTTTCAGTTTAGGAAAATATTAACAACAATACAATAACTTACCTCCTTTCACAGCTAGAATCTCACATTAACCTGGAGGAGGGACAGTGTAAAAGTAACCTAGATGAGTCATATCTAGGAAGATGACTCAAGGAGTGTGACATCTCAATGTAGAGGAAACGCACACACGTGGGAGTCCACTCCACATTTGAACCAGGTATACTCCTTGCCTGAGATGAATGAATAGGAAACAAAATGAGGCACATTCAATAAAGTGCCATTGGTGTAGAGTGGCTAGGGCACATCAGATTATAAGTAGGAGGTCAACTCCAGTCTAAAACTGGCTGCACTGTGACTGGATCAATTGGCCCATAAGTTGGAGGTCAACTCCAGTGTAAAACTGGCAGCACTGAGACTTGTTCAATCAGCCCATGGTAGGAAAAGGGTCCCCTATCATTCACCTCAGGCCCAGGAACCAGTAGGGATGAAATATTTTCAAGTTTATGTTAAGTGTATGTATGTATAACCTTCTTTATTTCAAAGTCTTATTTCAGCATAATACAAGTATCAACTGTCAGTCATCAGAAAAAGCCGTCCCTTAAATACACAATCTTAACTTTTAAATTTCTAATAATGGAACAAAATTTTGGTAGAATCATTAAATAAAAATACTTTTCTGTATACAATACCTATATTTACAGCTGTTATTAACTGGTACCGTACCTCTTTCCCATTTCTAGTAAAGAAAACAGTCACCACTTGTCGTCTCTCTTGAACTGAAGACTTTTCAAATTTGATACCACACCCAATTTTGTCACCAGTTTCACATTTAGGAAGACCTAAAGACCTCTTAGATGCACCTTTAATCAATCTGAAATGGAAAACAAGAATACAAACTATTAATGAGAGCAAAAAAATACCTACCCTTGAAAATGAAATAAGGAGGAAATTAACTATTTCTATTAAATGCCTTTTAAAATCTGCCTATGAAAATTAATAATATAATATCCTAAAGTTTTACATGTACTATACAAATAGTTTCTTCAGCAAATAAACTAAGTCATAAAATATCTTTTATAATCATACACTGATTCAAGAACTAGTAAATGTCAAAGTTCTGCAGAATTGAAAATCATTTAGTGCTGCATAAATCATAGCTAAATCTAGATGTCCGTAATTTGATGATGCCAGATTCTTAACTCTTTCAGTAACAATTAATACATGTTGAAGCGTATGCAAAGGTTGGTTATAGATGAATATGTTTGTTGTTAGCTCAACCCTAGTTGTATTGACACAAGAACTGTTGTAAATAATACTTTTGTCCAGTTTATGATAGCCAGTTAGAAAACAATTAATAACTTTATAATTAGTGAAACTGTTAAATATTAAGTCAGAATTGATTGTAGATTTGGCTTTTAAAGCCAACTTTGTTTGATGTATTTCAAAGTTTTATTTGTTTCTAATCCTCATGCAAAGTTACATAATAACTATATATATGTACTGGATATCCATAATTTTCAACTGATAGACTATAAGAAAGATAAAAAGAAGTATGTTATAGGTCAAACCACTAAGAAGTTAATATATATATTTTTAATATACATAATTGAGGATACAAGGTTTCGGGCAATGCCCTTCTTCAGGTATCACTAACTGAACATTAAATCCATAAATGAAAACATTCTAAATCAAAGGTGACATGACAATGTAACAAATATAAGTGTATAACAATACTTACAAACAATTGAAACTATAGAAAGTGATAAATATATACATATATATATA